TGTGGAGTTCGAGGATTCGATCGAGATGGTGGGGATAAGGGGGTTGCGGGGTAAAGAGCTCGCGATGGAATAGGAGCATTGAGTCGTATGTGTATAGAACTCTACGTATAGTGGCTGATTGCGTCACGTGTGACCTTAGGGCATAACGGACCACCCGTGTCTTTAGCCGCGGGTCAATCGACCGGTTTCGCGCGCACATGTTTGGCGGCTCTTCTTCTCGCCCCTATTACCTGTCCGTCCACTTGTCCCGTCATGGATTTTCAATGTCCACGTCCCATAATTCAATGAAGATGTAGTCATTTGCGCGGATATCGCGCCATCGATTGGTATCGACGACGACGAATCTCGATAGATATCGTGTACAATTAACAATTTATCACGGCAACTTGATCTAAATAGTAAACCATGTTATATAACAATATATTTTAATCATTTATTTTTTGTTCCACGAGACATTTTAGACATTACACTTAATGTTTCATCTTGCGATGGCTCGATACTGATCTATTCATTCAAATCAAAAAGATAGAGTTAGCAACGTTTATCTGTAAATGAATGTACATTGCAGTAAGGATTGATTACGATAGTCGTTGTCAAGATACAATTGTATTTATGAAACAGACGGGACGGATGGTCGAATATTTGCAATAAATTTTTTTCAAGCCTATCTATCCAAAAGTGATAATTAGATGATGATAGAACGAGTGGTAAAACAATAATCTGTACAATTCACAAAAATGTCAACAAGACATGAAAGGAATAGACAAGGAAATATCGCAATGAAGAAATAGGTGCGCACCGATTACATTGACCAGTTCCAGTTTTATCGCCACGTTCTTCCACAAAGTTAACGATAATCATTGTACGTTGAGAAGTTGAGCGAGAAATAAAGGAGACGCGTGCATCGTCGATCGTGTTGGGCCACAGGAATGCAGGACGAAAAGGGTACACCGATTGTGTGTGCACGCGCGCGCGAAGAAACCGGTCGTTCCGCGCGCGAGATTTTTGCGCACCACCTTGTAAGAGAACGACCCGACGCGCAATGAAACGTTACTTGGATCCACAGTAGACAGTGGACGAGCCAGAACGCATTGCCGTGCCGCGTACCATTTTGAGACATTGAGCCAGTCGAGTCGCCCTTAGCTCTGGGTCAGAGCACTGGGTAACGGCATTGCCCGGCCACGTGCGTGCGAACCCATCGTGATATCTGGGTTATAATGTAGTAATTACCTACGCAGACGTGCCGACCTATCCCCCGCTTGAGAGAGATTCCATCGCACCGCATCGCGTCGCGTCGTGCATCGGCCCTCCGCGCGTTCCCCCCGGTGTTCTCGTCCTGACAAGATCGAGCTAATGGTACTCAATATATATATATATGTATATCCACGAATATTGTTTGTCTTTCTTTCATGTCCGAGAACGCACGCGTCATTAGGATGATTTGGATATCGTACGTCGGCAATTTCGCGTTAATTCTTTTACTTCGAAACTTAAATTCTTAATATACTTAATGCGCTTGTGTGTACGCTTAATACGCTTTGCACGTTGATATCTATGCAACACGATGGCTTTTTAGAAAAATTTTTAATTTCACTCATATAAAAAAATGTAAACACTCACCCCCTTCAGTAAGAGACAGGCTATGATGTAAATGTATAACTGCATATCGTGCATTATTCACAGTGAAACACTAGTCGTATCGCTAAAAAAGAATGGTGATTATAATAAAATAGTTTAATGTATTATATAGCACAGCATGCTTGAAATAAATTCTCGCGTATTGTTACGCCAATCGATTCTTTAACAAAAAAAACAAAAAAAAAAACACATACAGCATTTGCGCAAAAGCAGTACATTTTAAAGCAGACGATTTTAAAATCTTAACGGAAACTATTGTGAATGTATGATGACATACCTGACGATAATCGTATAATTAAGAGAATGTTTCTTTACAGCAAATCGCGATAACAGTCTTGAACAATCTTCTTTTTTGTTGGGGTAATCTGTGTTCACTCGATACAACAACCTGTAATGATAATTTGTTCAGTTTTACAAAATTTTTAATCAGAGAGAAACCTTAAAAGAAAGAAGAACGAGCTTTGCGAAGATCACAAAACAGACGCCAGATAAGCGTCATTACTGTTAACTTGTTGCTCATTTCCGCCACGTTAGTTGTAAAGGATGCGTTTATAAGACAGTTGTTGAATTCACGTTTCGCTCATTTCGCTCTTTGATCGCCAATTATCAGACAACATGTTTGCCTCGCGCAACCACTAGGCCACCTGTCCCAAATTCCTCCCGAATGTCCGGGTTTTCGCTCCGTTACCTTGTTGTAAGTACAGTCTCAGCCTCACGGTCTCACCATCTATTAATGCGAGTCAAATTTACTAAATTCGCAAAAACACGCGTACAAGCGTACACGCAAATTTCACACGTAGCTTTAATCGAGAATAATACGCTACACTTATACAAGCTGCTCAGTAAATTATCTTATTATAGAAATTTATTAATAATAACTTGTATCTTTTACACAATTCCAAATAAGCTATCAGAAAATAATTTTATCACAAGCACACACACACACACATCATTATCATTATCATCATATATACATATGCCATTAGCTGAAAAAAAAAGACCTAATTAATATGTCACTGATTTGTCACATCGATATACCGCATACATATTCTGCACACAAAACGAAAAAAGTCTGATTTTTTTTCTTACTTTCTTCTTTCTTCTCGAGACCACAAAATAACTAATTACACAAAAAATGTATCAATACTTTGAAATTAGTTTTACTTAAATTTAATAAAATACATATTTATCGAAGCATTTATTAGATGTAAATTGAGATGCAAATAAAAGAGGCAATCACGTATATAAATGCAGAGTAAATAAACTTTTATATCGCGAGTAAGCACTAATACATCTAATGCTTCATTCGTCTTGCGTTTTCGTTACGAGAATAAACGCAGCGAAAATGCTTCTTTATACATAATATGCACAACGTGTTTGACGCAAATCTTACTTTGCCTCATCTAAACTAATCGTACTTGAAATTTAACAAGTGACGTTTATAGAACAAAAAAATTGTTTCTCTGATTACAATATTTATTATTTATTAAACATATCTTGAATTTTCAAATTAAAAATCTATCTATAAAATTGAAAACTTTGCCGTTTCAGTAATGTAATGGCAAATAACGCGACCTCTTTCCGACACGCGCACGAAAGAGAAAAGCCGGAGACGATATGCAAAATGTCTGTGCAGCCGGTGCTCAAGTGGCATGTTTGACGTCCTATGAATGTAGGCAAGTAGGCTCCTGCCGATCAACGTTCGACCGTATGCGAACGCACGTGGAGTCCAAGTCAAAAGAACGTACCGGTTAACCAGGCGCGGCCGTCGGCTATTCGTCCAATTTGCGTGCCTGATACTTTGTACGACATATTGCAGCATTTAAAATTTAATATGCGCATTGCAGCGCCAATTTGAACAATTTCCTTAAAATCGTTTTATTTACGGACTGATAACAAAGGAATTACTAACAAATACGTTGATATATAATATTTGAATAGAACACGTGTTCACAATCTAATAAATTTTTTAAATCAAATATATTCAACATCGTAATCAATCAACCAAAAGTTGGTTGGATTGCGTAGAATCAACTCGAGTAAAAATTCTAAAGAGACAGCCGTTCTGAGAAGAAATTACAGAGTCGTTAGCTCATATCATATGTTGGATGTTTTATTCCGTTTTTGTAATTTGTGTCGCGACACCTGTTTCTTCTCTTACAAGTTACCTACATTCGAATAAAAATCACTGCCAGCTATTTACACGTCTCCCGTTTCGTGTTAACCATGGAACCGGGTATGCTGAAGAGATGTGGCATGGTGCCAAATACATATAACGGTTCCATCAATGTAGTAATTCCAAAGTCGGGCATTCGCATAATGAGCTCCTAATAGCGATCTATATGGAATAAATATAGTGGCTTCTCTATTGTCTTGTCCTCTTTTTCTTCTTATTCCTGCTTCCAGAGACTTGTCAAGACGTAAATAATACACACGTAATATTATTTAACATTTGAAAGAAAGTTATACACAGATAGGCATATTGATGAATTTCTGTTACCCACGTTGCCTGTGATTCACGTCAGACTTTACAAGTATCTTCTATCCAATATCTATTACTCGTGCCACTTTTCTTTTTTTTAGTTTGAGTATATAACAATTACTCGCGTTTGCGAGTATACCATAATTGGCCAATACCATAATTAGTAATCTCGTTAATAAGTTGAAATCAAGCGTTACGCGGAATATATTTTAATCATGGCGATGCATCTATTAGTATCAATAACAATAGAAAAATGCATAACAGACGCGCGATCTGTATTACTGTATTACGTTTTGCTTGTTCGCGATATGGCAATTGCAAGGTAATCAAGTGTAACGAGGTAGCTCGATGACTCGATTGTTTCTTTGCGCACTTGTGAGCTAAAACAGCTATACGCTTCAGATTGATCGCACACGCGTATATCGAATCCTACTCTACTACTAGTATATGTACGTATTAGCGAGATACACAGCGTAGCAAAGTTGTACATTAATTTGTTAAAAAATCAATAAATAGAAATTTATACAAAATATTTTAACGGCGGAATGTAATGTTACAAATAATAACAACTCATGCACTCTTGGTTTTTTGTAAGCCTTACAATTGTTTAACAGTAATAACAAATCAGTGTCAAATGATACATGCCTACTAACTGTCATTAATATGAGAGAGAGAGAGAGAGAGAGAGAGAGAGAGAGAGAGAGAGAGAGAGAATGCATCAACTTTTTTCTTTAATAAACATGCGAGTTCGTACGTATCGTAAAAATTTCACAATCGCACTTCTTTCGACATGCTTTACATTTCATTGAATCTTGTTTAGATACAATCAATGCAAAATAATGCATTTTTTATATTAATGCTCGTGCAATTTTAATTTAATTTTAATTGATGCTGCAAACAATTGTTTATCGTTACATATTTGTTAGATTTATCTCCGATAGATTTGGTAAATAGATCTCCGGTTGCATTGCATGAGAATGACGACACATTAATATTGATGATGAATTTACATTGCCGCGGTTATAATGACAGACTAAAGAAAGACCATAATAATTTTGCAAGAGTTTGTGCCAATATCATGAAACATATATGTTGGATTACACGTTATTTCGCCGGAGGGTATGTTTAATAGAATGGAAACGGTCACCCCCCACGGTTTTGCGGCCGACTATATCGTAGTGAATCTTGTACAACGCAACGTATAATTTCTCTCAATAAGCCTTGCGTTCCGGCCGTTATTAACGCATTAGCGATGCGCGAACGATGACGCGCAACCTGTCTCTAATAACTTAATCAGTGACGTAGCGCTAATTGGATTACATCCGGTATAGCGTAAAGCCGATCGTAAAGCATCGACCAAGCACTGTACGTACGTTCGTTTGACTTTGAAGAGGCGCATTTAATGACCGCAAGTTATTCATAACAACGTTTGCATTGTGATGCTCGCACATAGAAAGCATTCCATAGAGAGCATTCTACGCAAGTAGTTTGCGTCATATTTCGCATATTTGACTATAATCAAGAATTTGATTGTTTGACAATCAAGAATTTGATTGTCGAATGTTAGGCGAAGCAAACACGTTCTCAAAATGACGTATCGCATATTTACAGAAATAATATTTTTATCCACTTTCTACTTGGCTCCTTTCATCGCAAAGTCTCGCAACTCTTTTTTAGATTTACCAAAAAATTTGTTTTTCTTGCCGTTTTTCTAAATAATCTTAAACAATTGAAAAGTATAACCGAGCAACTAAGCTCAAATTGCGGCAGAAGCCGCGCGAATATTCTGAATTGAAATCGATGCCGAACACGGTAATACACCAGCGAAGCAATAATATCTTACTTCTTCGAGCCAATATCCAAGCAAGTCTGAAGTGCAAGTGGCCGTGCTTGATCTTCCTTTTGATGTCAAATGAATGAGGAACGGATCGTTCGAGTTATCACACCGATCGTAGCAATTAGACGTCGCACAACTATCCGATCTGGTACGTTCTGGTAGCAAATGCCCAAGAGATGAGAATGAGATTCGACAAATGTATCGCTGATGCGAATTTTGTGTTTGCCCGAACGAGGTTTATAAGAGCCTTCGGAAGCTCCGTGCGTGCAACTGATCACCTCGTGGTGACGCGCTACTCCACGATACCCGCTCACGACAGCTAGAGAAAGAGACGCGCGCGGGGCGGCATGTGCGGTCGCCGGTCTTGGAGGTGCACACGAGAACTCGAAGAGTCAGAATAGGGTACACCTGTCCGATATACGGAGTATACTACAAACGTAGCGGCCCGCCCCCTGACCCAGACAGCCGGTACAGTTATATAGGTCCCTTGCGCAGAGCGGAGGATCTCTCCTCATTCTCGCTACATTCGCCGCGAATCTGTGAGACTCGATGAACGATGTCTTCTGTGTATACGGCACATATGCTCCTATGTATTTCATCGAGATGTCAATGATAGTTTGTTTATCACTGAGCACAGAAATGGCACAGCACACAAAATATTTGATGTATCTAATCAAATTCGGAAGATCAATTTTGTAATTGAGCTCGATTCCAAGTTCCAATGAGATCTTAACAAGCTTTGATCACAGCATTCTTCATTAGTATTCTAATATATATATATATATATAGAGTATTTCTCTAAATCTGTCACATTATTCTAATATTTAACAAGTGCGGGTAAATAAAAATTAAGAAAATGTACGTTTCTGAAAATGTTGTGAATATAATAGTTATTGTTAAAAAAAAAAAAAAAAAAAAAAATACAACTACTTTGAGAAAATATTAACAAAATTGTTAATTAATTATTTAAATCAATTTTAATTTATTAAATTTAAAATAATAGTTCAACCAATACTATCTTATTGCAAAGTCTCTAACAAGAAGAAATAAATTCATAATAATTCTCTCGCTTGTGTTGATTGCAAATCAAGTTTCTTAGATATACATAATTTAGTTACATCTTACAAAATATTTAACATATTATCGTATTAATTTTTTATTGTTTATAATTAAAGAAAAATTGATGATTGCAATCTCTGACGATGAAGAAAATGTAATGGCATATAGGTAACAATTGCTGATAATTTATCGATTAGTGTTTATGCTTAAAATCTTACACAATCCTTATTATAAAGCATTTAAGACATCATATATAAATGTATATTTAATTAATAATAAAGTACCTTATATATAAATTTATATAAAATTTTAATTTTAATTTTTCTTCACCCTTTATCGCTTTACGCTGCATCAATATATTGGTTTTGTGTGTACTTGCTACTAGGGCTGTTGCTTTTGACATCTTCGAAGCTTTGAAGACTTGAAAGAATTCAATTCGCTTCCGTAAGTCGCATTAAGACACCATGTAATTTCTGTAAATTGACATATATTATTCAATTTAATTTTATATTATATATACAATACATTGTTTTAGTATTTTCTTAACACTTGAATTTTAATATTCCAGCGAGCAGCCGAAAAGATTTATGGAACAATGCTTGTAAGAAGCAAACAACTACGTGCATCCATACGTGCATTTCCTTTAAAATCGTCGGCTAATTCCAAACACCGTAATCATATCCAACAACTGCTGTATGTAGGAAATGTGTTTAAAATTATAGCTCTAATCTATTTATCAATAAATCTAAATTTGCATTTACATAATGTTCATCAATTTATCAATGCCGAATGACGCTTTGCAAAAGAGAAATGTCGCGGACAGAATTAAGCATCCAAGTTACATTACAAATTTTGAATTAGGAGCCATGATATGTAGCATCGTTTAAGTTCGATTATTGGAAATAAATCTTTCAACACATTTTCCAACCGTCTTTGTCTAGAGAGTAAATCAAAAAGTGAAGAGATATCTTTAATTAATTTGGAAAGAGAAAAAGTTTTCTTTACTTTTCGACTTTGTTTCGTAATTTACTTTAATATCTTAAATATTTTACATTAATGCAATTATTAATTATTTTACATTATTTTTATATATTGAGAGACATACACAAAATGTACATGTGTCATAATAGCAGAGCACGTGTAATAAACATCAGCATCTGCAGAATACAAAGCATAGAAAATCCCTTCTTGGCGCATGTCGTTACGTCAATTTTTTGTCGAGTTATAATCGTCTTAAAAATCTAGCGCGTGTGCACCATTTATGAGTGTGTGCGGGTGTACGTGTCGCGGAAGCGTGGAAATGTTACGTAACTATTACGGTACTACGATCAGCTGGTCAATTGACCAGCAGTAGTGAGGTAGGTCGTGTAAGTCATCGGCCTATATAAAACATGTAACTGCGTCGCTGGTTGGCTTCGGCCTAGATCGACATCATTCGGGATGTAATCAACGACTCGATACAATTATCGAAATCAGTTAGTTGGTGCATCGAATGTATAAGTCAAGGTGGTATGTATATGCGAGTATTGCACGTGATTTGACATAAGATATGATCATGTCTTTTGACACATTGTCACATTAATTTTGCAATTGCAACAACGGCAAACAACAATTGCAAACCTCGGATGTGTCATATGAATAAATCGTATTGATTAATATGTTTGTACAGATGTGTTTAAAGCACCAATCGGCAAAGTCGATGGAGCGGCGAGACATCACTTGGTGAATAAATTTTAATATGCAATTTATTACGCAATACGAATCGTTTTGATACGGCAATATAAGAGCGCGAAATAATTACTGATTAGCGCACCGAACTCACTTTATGTGTTTTCCTTAAAGTCGAAAGAAGATAGACGCGAAATGAGGACAATGTGCACATATGTGCGGCTCTGCCGCACAATGGGATTTTTGGGCAAAATATCTATGTGGCGTAGGGTCCCAAGTAAACGCTTATTTTCTTATCAAAATTTTGGAAATAACTTATAGTTTTGCAATAATCCTTTTACACTAATTTTCATTATTTATTTCGTTATTTACTTTTAAACATTTCAATCTTTTAAGTGCGATCATTGAATCATTTTTTATCTTAAATAGGTCGAGAATATACTTCCAAAAACACGCATTAATATGTATAACTTTAAAGTATAATTGATAAAGGCTAATTTTGTGTAAAATTACTAAAGAATAGTGAGAATAAAGGAATAATTAATGCAAGAACATTCATTTATAAACATTGTTGTATAATTATTATTATAATTTTTATTACAAAAAGATAGTAATCATTCATTGCTGTACCCAAACATATATATAGATGTACGATTTAATACAATAAAATTTAAAACTCCATTTTATATACAGAATATATTCTACTTAATAACAACCAAGGATGATAATATGCATACATACATACACACACACACACACACACACACACACACGCGCGCGCGCGCGCGCGCGCGCGCGCGCACATATATATATACAATAATCATTAACATACACTGTTATAAAAATTATTTTATTTACAAATTCGATAAAAGAGAAAAACAGTGCGCGAGATACCACATAATAGTAACATTAACAGATGTTATAATATGTTCAATATATACGGGAGATGTAAAATTATTAAATATTACAAATAGAAAGTGGGATTATAAAATAGCATCATAAACTTATGCAATAAGAAAATCTATGGAGATATCTACTTATCAGAAGAATTCTTATAGTCCAGTGTTAAGATCCTTAAAACTTTGATCGAGGCACGATTAAAATCCTTAATTAATACATTCATTATTTATATACATTATGTTCGTGGATTAAAAGTTATCAGTCTTATAGCTCTCAAAAAAGGGGATATACGTATATGCAGTACACACGTAAACGCACGTTTCGTTATGCTTAGTAATTAATATCCGATGAATATTACTCTTTAAACAAACACAAATTCTTGATCTGGAGCAGCAATACGCAAAATAATTTTTTTCACGGTAAGAATTATCTAGCTATTATCTCATACATTCTTAATATATTTATTGGCACAATATTTTTGAGTCTAGATTACTTTATCGAAACGTCAATAAGTGTGTAACTAAAAGCGAGGAATTTTAATTCAATAATGTACTTAAATAAAAGAACAAACATCTTTTTGATCATAATAGTGATAAATAATAATAATCGTGTAAACTATTATTATAAAATATAATTATACATGCGTATGTAAGATATATATATATATATAATATAATATACTATATAATAGTACATAATACTATTTATGAGCATTTATATTGCTTAAATAGTATCGTACTAAACTTAAACACTCAGCGTATTTATATAATAAGCATATAATAAGCAATATTTATAAATATTTATACACAAGGGAATAACTCAATTTTCATAAAAATATTAAATATATTACTATATCTCTATCATATATATTTTAAATTATATCATGACGATATCTATCAACGAAAATCAGATGTTAGATGTCAAAAATTCATATTCAGAAAGCATAACGTGAGAGTGGAACTTTATCGTTATTTATTTCAAAGAATAAGCTGAAAAATTGTTATGGACAGAAAAAAAACAGTTGTATGTGATATGTCATTCTATCGTCTCTCGTAGTTGTCTCAACGTTAGTTTTAATGCGCAGTTTCATAATTTAATATATTAGCATGGGATAGTCTCTCATTCATCGCGAAAGCAATGTTACCTCAAGAGGTAATGTTCCTCAAGAGGAACAACAAAGGAAAAATAGATAAAATTTGAGTTAGTCTGTTGTTCCTTAGAGGAATAGAATTTGTTGGGTTGCTAATCATTTGAATGTTGCTTTCGTTTAACAACATGTAAAACAGAGAAACGAGTATTATATTTCACACACTCTAGACGGGTACGGAATCGATTCAATGAAAAGCTTCAAAAAAGAAAATATTGCAAATTTTTTAAAAGATTCATTCATTTTCATAAGCATTCATACTTTTACGTTTCATCATTATTATTCCGATACATATCTTTAAAACCACATTGATTGTTAATTTGTGAATACTGACAATGATAAAAATTGACAAATGTTTCAACAATCAAAATTATTTATACAATTCGATTTTTTAGATTTAATCCAAAAAAAGAACGAGATTTAATATATGAAGATGACATATGGCTTTTTATCGAGAACTCTATTTTCTAATGAATATTCACAAAGTAATGATCAGTAGTGCGTTTTAATATTCATTTATACAGAAAACATATACGTACAAAGCATAATTGAGCTGCTTGCGACAGGCTCATTTGCTTTATATTAAAAATTTTTTATTTATTTATTTTAAATCTCATTTGCTTAAATATAAAACGCAAATCGTGTGTACATACATATACGCGCATGCATATCTAAAATTCTGTACGTATACATACACACACACACACACACGCGCGCGCGCGCGCGCGTATGTATATAACAAAGATTTATATTATATATATAAAATATAAATCTTTGTTAATCTGTTCCGCGAGAAATAAAAGCGGAAGAGAGTACACACATACATAGTTTTCTTAGGAAATTAGTAGTTTATCTTACAAGATATGTAGTATTTCTTTTGCATTCTCGAAATGTTACTCGCATATTTTAACAGAGTGTAATAATGGTTGCTACAATTTTGTTCACCGTAAAACTACAATTTATCTTTCGATTGTGAAATAGTACACGAAGCAGGAACTGCAAGGAAAACGAGGAATAGCACCAATCAGAGAATAACAACTGCTATTGACGATTATTGTTCCAGCGTTTTCTACTGATAACGTTCACTTGCAATTCGCAGCTAAGAATTAACAGCATAGCTTTCCAATATCCATGGTAGTATTACTCATATAACACAACTAAGAAGAGATCTAAAGGACGTCTAAAAAAGAATACTCCAAAAAATTATAGAGCATCTTTTTGGCGTTTGCGTTGTTTGCATGAGCTATCCGCGTTAGCGCTAAAAAGGCACAATTCTACAATTCACATCCCAACACGTCGTTTTGTACAATAATTTCACAATTGTTATCTATACTGAGGCCTCATAAAACCACACGCGCATATCTTGTCTCTCATTATATTCGTAAAATAATTGACACAGCCGATCGAAAATCTGTGTTCCGCAGAGAGGATCATGTTAAGAGAGAAAAACAAATGAGAGATGAAAGAGAGAGAGAGAGAGAGAGAGAGAGAGAGAGAGAGAGAGAGAAGAGAGAGAGAGAGAGAGAAGAAGAAGAAGAGAGAGAGAGAGAGAGAAGAAGAGAGAGAGAGAGAAGAAGAAGAAGAAGAAGAAGAAGAAGAAGAAGAAGAGAACAAGGGAACAAGAGAAAAGCATACAAAGGAAGAAAATAAAGTAAGTTTATAAAACTATAATATTTGCCAATATGACACACGAGATCGACGAGATTTGATCGACACGAGGGTAGAAGCTTAGTTCCGACAGATTTTCTCGGATCTGAAAGCGGGTCGAAAGAAAATCCCAGGAATGAGGAAATAGAGGAGGAAGAAAAAGACGTTTGAGAAGATAACGTGCGACAATACATCTGCGCCGATGGATGCTGGCGTAAGGCTAGAGGTGGACGCTGGATGACCTCGGTGATCTGGTCATACGATGCCGTATATGTTGAAATCTGAAATAAGAATATAGAATATGATAAATAACTTTCTTCAGCTATTGATAACAAAGCTGAAGCAAGAGATCATTACTTATACATGATAATCATTTATTACACACAAAATAAAGAGTTTGATAAATTCTTATGCTGAAATTAATGGCAATTAAGGCATCTTTATTTTCCTTTCTTTTTTTTTCGTGATTCGGAATGCATATCTTAATGCAAGAATGAGTGCAAACACGCTGCAAACAAGCACGTGGTAACTGTTCGAGGTTGTCGAGAGTCAAGATTACCCCGGTCCGTCCCACGCGTCTAGACGTCTTAAAACTTTTTTTCGTTCCTTTCTCTCTCTCTCTCTCTCTCTCGCTCTCTCGCTCGCGATGTTCACCAAGGCGTGGTCCTACACAACGTGATCACGGTGCGGCACGCCGTGTGTGGTACATACTATCTTGTGCCACCACTTCTCGCAACCACGCCTCGAATAATGTCTACAGGGTATCTCAGAAGTGGCGCATTTCCTTCGCAGCATAAAGATACTGTCCACTGCTGAACTGTTTCAATGTCGAGAGACGCATCGATAAAGACGCCTGAGAATTTAACCCTCTGATGCACTTTGTGGATTAAAGCAATCCATGCAGCCTCTTATCGTATACAGTTATAACGATACGAGAGATTACTGGGAGTTAAATTTATATATACTATTCTATACTTTTTTTTACCAAGAATTGTTTATGTACTTGAAAGCAATATGCAAATTTAATTATTTTATTCTAAATTCTATTTTGTATCATGAAACCTTCAAAGAGATAACTCAATCGTATATTTAAATATTTAAAGATGCATAAAATTCATCGTTTTATTTGACATCATACACAAATATTACAAGTATACTATTGGATGTAGTCAAATTGTCGGATATTATCTACAGATGTGGATACTTGTAGTATGAATATAATTGAAGAATAAAGTTATTTGCAATATCTTAACAAGATTTAATAAAAATAATTTTAATAACTTTATCTTATTCTATTTTTTATTTTAGTTTAAAAAATAAAAATTATTATGAAGCGTCTTACTTTTAAAATATCTTACGACCGTATTAATAATGTATTCGTTTAATTCTTAGCGATTAGCCAAACGACGTTGCAAATTCGAAAACTGCGCGTGCAACATTCACAATTGCGTTCGATGCATCTGATCGCGATCAGTCGCGACTTGCTAGATGTAATCATTTTCGTTCATCACAATATCTAAAAACATAGTCATTAAGTCAACTGTGTTCCACGCGCTGCCAAATGATATCGCAAGAAAGTGTGTTGTGCCGATAAATATAGACTGATTCAACGGCATTACAAAGTGGGTTAACACATTTGCACCAGGGTCAGGGTTTCGCAAACTTGGACGAAGCCGCTGAAGAACTCAAATCGAACGCGATTTTGTCTTGAATCTATCCGTTTTGTTAGGACCTTAGGCTGAACAAATCAGAGTCGAGGCACATTTTGCACTTGTAATAATCCATTTTGCTTATTATACTTATAATATCGCTCAGTGTGTTTAGCAGTGTGTCAAGAACCGTCTCACTTTACATCTTTCCGACCAAAAGAAGCTAGATATTGCTAAGCTGCTGTTGAATGACAAAACGAGATCTTTACAAGCAGTTGTAACATTTTAAACAAAAGTGTGACAAATCAATTTCTCTTGAGTTATGCATAAAGCAACAATGAGTTGTGATGAAAATTATATAAAGAACATAAGTTTATTTTGAATTATAATTGAACATAAAGACAATTTTTTCAATAATTTAAATATATTATAAATATCTTGAATATACATATATTAGAAATATCTGCAATCAAATTTGTATGCCTATGAATTTACTTGAATGCATTATTTACGAAAAGCCCGAAATATATGAAGATTAAACGAAATTCAGTATATAAAGCGATGCCAAAAGTAGTTGAAGAGCTGTGTCATTGGAGGAAATTATGGCATATCTTTTAGCGGAAATATCTTTAGTGCACGCGCGCGCGCGTCTAATTGTACATATATATTCTTCTTAGAACAGTAATAGAGTTATCATCTCGATGATACTGGATGGGCTGGACTCCCCTTCATTCATTTATGATTTCAGTTATTTATATAACATTTATCAATGGAAGATTAATATTTTGCTCGCTCATTGGATTGTCCAGCTTGGTGACTCTCACAAATTCGTAATATGCCCACTTTAATCACACTATTTCATTGAAAAGACCTTACAACATTTGCATTTTTGATATCACAAATATTTCGATAAATAAACTTGAGATTTACATTCTATAAGTCTAAATCTTCCATAAAATTGTTCGAAATTAAACAAGAGAACAAGACTTTATATTATTCGTTCGATCGTCATTTCATGCAATTGGGACATTATTCTCAATCGCCTTCAAATTGAAGAAAAAATTTTTGCTTCAAGAAATATCTTTTTTTTTTATTTTTAAGTTCCCAGCACAATCACTTCATTTCATATTACACTTTGTACGTGTGTCGTGTCGCGATGTATTTATAATACGTGATGAGACGAAGACAGAACGAAAAAGGAAGATAGGAAGGGAAAAGAGAAAGAAGGAGAAAGAGTGAGGACAAGTGTGCGTGAGAGGGAATAAAATCGGTACGTCTTGTCATTGCGTGGTAACAACCTTTAGTTAAGGCGATTAGAGTCGCGCGCGACTCCCCGGTCGTGTCTGTTATCGCGTCTCGCGCACGACGACGTCGGCGATCTACGTTATTTATAGAGAGAAAGTTTCAAGCCGCGGCGAACGCATATCCACGCGCAGAAAAGGACGCACAGCTCGCATCCGATAAAATTTGCGAAAGCGCAAGATTTCGCCAGCGCGACAAGGAAAATTTCACACTTGGCCGCGCGGTTGTGAAACGTGAAAACCGGAGCAGAGTACGACAGATTTGATCAGAACTTTTATCCATCTTCAAGAAAGCTCGTTGCATATTGCTGGTTAATAATAGCTCGCATGAGCGTGGTACTATTTCGTCTGCGTGCGAGGTGAAAGCGTAAATAGATATACATGTATCTCTCAGGAGCGATATTATCATAAGACTGTTGAAAGTGGAAGCTTTGAGCTTTCACCTTGCATTGTCATATAAGTTTATGTTTGTTCTTCCTTCTTCTAAATTTACGGAAGTAGAAATACATATGACAGTTCAGTTTAAGCCGAGTATCGTAGCAAAAGCTGATGAATGAAATTTGCGGAATGTGATAAAAAATTTCAGACGGTTACATACTAGATTAAAAACTTTTATATTGTGATGTTTTATATGCAAAAAAAGTTCCCCGGTAAAATCTTGAGCTCTTACGCTGTTTGATAAAACGCTTATTTATGCTATGATCGTCATATACGATGAGAGGGATAAGTTACACAAATGCATCAAATAAATTAAATTTCAGAAAAGTGAAAAAAGATAGTCGGACATTTAACTCAATTATTCACTAAATTCTCATTCAAGTTTATAAAAATGCCGCGCGAAAACACTTTTATATATGTACTTGGATTCCATCGTGAAGAATAAGAGATATTCGTTTGTACAATAATTGACAACGTAAACTGTATTTAAACTTGATCAAATATTCTTATGCGAAGAGGAGATAAAGAGAAAATCGGGACTTACCGTGCAGATTACGTTATCCGTACTCGGCGTCGTCCGCACTGCTGCTCGCTATCATTCTCTGATCGTTTTTCTCCCGCACGCGCTCTTGTTTCCTCGTTCTTAATTCGGATCGTCGCAGCTTTTCTCCTCTCGCACTTCGCGCTCACTTCTCCGTTCCCTCGTTCCTGGTGATTCGCGTGTCACGAGATACCTAGCTCATGGTCCCGCGTGATCTACGTCTTGGCGAATTTGCCGGAGAAGAAACTGGAAGAGTTCGTACAACTTGGTACATAATTCGTAATAACACGAGCGGGCACGGCCTCTTCTTGCCGGTGAATTCACCAGTATGGCGCGTCGTTGGTCAGGTGTTGCCAGGATGCGAACTCGCTCCAGGTACGCATGTTTAGCCTGGTAGCTTCCGTGATGCGCGGTATATTGCTGTCCTTCGTTCCGTTTTTGCTCGAGAACCCGTTGCATGTCGTCGTCTGATTGTTGTCCTGCCGTTTGGCCGATACTTGAGGCTAAAAATGCGTGTGTAACGTGTCTTCATTCTTGCACGTGCGTCCGTATTATTGTAAAGAACTTTTGATTGTCCTTTTTGGAAATTTGCTCAACATATCAATTTACATATAAAGAAAGGAAGCACAAATTCTTACCATTGTGTACATTACAAGTGAACATGATAAACAAACAATTGGTATTTATATCTAATTCTTTTTAAGATAACAACTTCTTTTCAAGCGATAGAACAAAGTGAAATAAACTTTAATTATGCATGAATATTATTAAGAGTACTCTTAAAGCCATGAATAATAGCCTTGAAAATCAATAAAATGCAACGAATTGTGTGTCATTGCTTTATAAGTAAATCGGTGAAGCTGTTGAGAGTCCTTCAGACATATACATTCGTAAATAGAATGGCGTAGCTTTTACGCAAAATATACAAACAGACATGTCATGTTAAAGAATATCATGCGTTATGTCAAGGATTGTAAATGTAAGTGCTTGGAAGACACATTCAATATATATTTGACAAATACTCTTGTTAAAAAATTAAATAATTTCCTTTCAAAGAAATAATATTTTAATTGAAAATTATGCAAAGATACTTGTAAGAATTAAAATTTGAATTTGAGCGTTAAAATGCATTCAAGAGTTAAACTATAATTTACGAAAGAGTAAATGATACGTGAAAAGAATAAAGAGGCGCTTACCTCTTGTTTTTTTCGGATCAGATAGTTGTTGCCTTCGTTATTGTCCCACAATTCCTTGCCGTCAGTGCGATATCGCACGCAGAATTCGATGATATTCGACGCTACTGGCAAAGTGAACCGGAAACGGAAGGTATCGTAAAGGGTGAGAGCACTCGGCGACCCGGGCTGTTCTATGTATATACAGTGCACGTCCTCGTGAGTGGACCAGCGATCGCTACTAACTCTTACTACGACTTCCTTGTCGTAGGCCAGATTCCGGACCTTTACCGTGCCTACCAAGCACTGCTCGGATTCGCGCACAATCACGTTCTCTAAGCTAACGTTGTTTTGATCGAGTTTACGCCGGAAGGCAAGGTAGTCGCTCGCTGGTTGCGGGAAGGTTAGCTGCCACGGCGGCGTGGTATCCTGTGTTGCGTTTTGATCCTGATTTTTCGACATACCAAGGAACAAACCTCCGGTTAGACCGGCCACGTAAGCCGTACTCCATAGTGGTGGCACGTTGCTCGGCTCCGACATCACGCGAACCTGGGTACCAAATTCAGCAAAATATTGGAAAATAGTAGTATAACAAATTAAAACTATCTCCCTTCCGCCTCCCAAAAAAGAAAAAAAGTTTGATGCAAATGTCCCTTAGTTAGATTCATAATAATCATTAATTGTAACTGATGTATTCTTCCCAGTTAAGTAATGAAATAAAAATAATTTATCATACATTGCAAAATAGAAATCTTCATCAATCCAATATTTCCCTCACTAGAAATCAAATTTGAGTTTATAACATAATTAGATGCTAACTTTCTGATTCTATGTATAGTTAAAAATTTATTGCCATTACACGTTAGCAGAAAATTAATATTAAAGCGAGCAACGTTAACTTAAAATGCACTAGCAACTTAAAAAAAAAAACATCTATATAGACGATTGTGAAAGAAAATATACAATATACGTATATATACCAGACATAGTCATTGCAAACAGATGCGAAAAAGATTTAATCATTTTGAATGCATTGTTGTTTTTTAATTTTAGATAAAAGATTCATTCACTGAATAATTTTGGCACCTACGAAACAATTCTATTAAATATTTTGGCTTTAATTAAAGAACGCTTAGTAAGAGTTACGTGTCTTTTGGCACTTACTTTTGACATGAGTCCAGTTTACACTCGTCGTTATATATTTGTAACGTAAAGTTTAAATTGTCAAAACGTTGACAATTACCAGCGTACGTGTCAAATTCGCAATTTGTAAACCATAAGCAAGATATCGCGCTATTCCAATAAAAATTATTTACTAATAAAAAGAAGAATTATATTCTAAAAGCAAGACAGGGAATATTCTTAGACTTGTTGCACGTATTGTAGTATTGATTTTGTTTGTTTCTATCATTATTTATGGGCCTCTTAAGAAGTCAATTCAACCTTAAACGCTTATCTACTTTGTGAACATAGTAGTATGGCAACCGAAATCTTATAATTTTCATTGAGATTCGTGATACACAACAATATATACAGATTTATCTACACATCTACATCTTATGACAAAAACATTCATGATAAAAAAAATGAAAGAATTTCATAATATTCAATTATGGCTATAATTCTAGTAGAATCCTCATGTATAATACCACCACATGTTACATCAAGAAGATGAAAATAATTCAGTTTTAAATTTTCAAGTCTTTCAATAAGAATTATTCGTTCAATAAAATTTAATTTGTTATATAAGAAAATCAATTTCACCGTGCGTGCGCGCGCGCGCGCGCGTGTGTGTGTGTAATTGGTTTCAGTAGTAATTTTAGCAGAAATACCTGTGTGAGTGGGCGGCCACGATCGTCGGCGAACACCACCCGTTTTTTTTGCTTGCCGTTACCATCATTGCTGTTTCGTAGCGCGTCCAGGGACAAAGCTCCCGAGGAGAGACATGATCTGATCCTGGGCGGTACCGATCTGCTGGTGATCGAAGGTGCCGTCACCACTAAAGGGCTATATATCAGGGAGCTATATACTGGAGGGCTGTGCCCCAGGATCAATTCGGCCGGCATCGCTATGGAACACATTTAGACCTGCAATCAGCGAAAGCAAAAAACACGTCTTTTTATACCCCCCATTATTCAATATATCCAGACAATGTTGATAGCAATTAATTTTATTCTTTGGATAGAATCAATTGGTTAAAATTATACTTTCCAAAATTACAAAGATAGTTTTTAAATTTTTAACTTAAAAAAAAAGTTTTTAAATATATATAAGACAGATTTTATATATTTAAAAATTAAATATATTTCAACTATTATATAAAAAGAAGTTATATATACTATTATTATATAAATTACAAAAAAAATAATATTAAATATAAAGTTTACATTTTTCATATTATAGTAGTTGTGTTCTACATAAATTCTCACAGAAAAGGCTCTATGATAAAATTAATAGCATATCGTTCGGGCTGTCGCGATGTTCTCTTTTATATACTTTCTAATTATTCCTTCGCGATAAAATAATGATGGAAGTAAGCAGTCGCTAAAATTCATGAGAAATTGGACGAGACTGCGCATTTAATGCCGTCTTGTAACGCAGTCTGAGATTTATTGGCATTTACATGCCATTCGTATTAATTTCATTACATAAACATAAAAAAAAAACTGTCTCTATCGCGATGATATCACAATATCAAAATTAAAATCTTCGGCTTCTATTGCCTGCCAGAGATTTCGTGAACCATTCGGATCATCTTTAGATCACGTGAATTTTCGTAGCGCTCTCAACACTGATAAGAATATTTGATATGTATATCGATCAAATGTCAATTTACTGATGCTAGGTATGTGTGTTCATCGATCCGTGAATCATATTCTTCTCATCGACAAACAATCAACAAGCATTTTTATACATTAAGAATTTGTGTTAAAATAATGTGCATGATTTGTATTCCCGTATTTTGTTGAATAATCAATTATTATGAAATTGAAAGTGAAAAAGAGCTAATTATGCTAAAACTTATCAGAATTTATTTCAATATCTGGCTGTCATTGTACATATCTGCGCATATAATTTTGCCGTTGATACATTTTTGTGTGCGGCGTGGCGCACGCAACACATGTGTAATCATGTTACTCGCGGAATAGAATTACGATCCTTGAGCGTAGTAATCTGCGGTCCTCACGTCGCTGTTCTTCCTATTCTGAGGACCGGTTCCGGGCTCAATTCGAGTCCGAGAAGACATGTTATGTATCACAGTACGTACCAGACTGGAACGACAGCTCGCGTGCATTTGAGAATCGCCGGACTATGAATCTCGACGAGTGTGTTTCGAGTTTCAGCGCAAAGTTACCACCTAAATTATATCTTTATGTGAAAAGGACGCGTATCGATTACAATGTACACCGCAAAAGTTGCAATCCTTTTTCTACAAGAATGGAAATCGGCATACCTAATATTAAAAAGCTCAGTTTCTGATATTATAGATATGTAAAGATATTTCTTTTACTTATTGTTGCAAATAATTATAGACATCAGCAGTTCGCAAGTATTGCTTGAAGAATGAAAATCAATAAATACATAAACAATAATAAAAAGCTCGATTTAATTATGTAGAGAAAAAAAATTTATTGTGAAATTTATATTTATATTATAGTTTAAACGAGATCATTTGTAACATTGTCATATATGTACATATATGAGAAAAAATCCAAGTCGTCGCATATATCAGTCGATTTTATTAAAAAGATAATATAAAATAAAATATCATTGTCAAACGAATTAACACAATAAGTTATTTTTACCAGTAATATAAATATAGTTATGCAACATAAAACAATATAATATATTGTGAATGGTAATTAATATAACAATAATTGTCAAGATATTATATTATATTTCATATAATTATATCGTGCAATCATGTAATTAGCTATTCTTATCTACGGGCTTAGAATTATCATATTAAAAAATATAGTAGAAAAATTTAGCCTTTTACAATATAATATTTTTGTGATCAGTGATTAAAATTGTAATTATTTTCAGAGACAACGCATCAATCGCAGATCTGTATACTCTGTACTCTCTGAAGAAATTAAACTATTATTTTATTTCAATAACTAATAAGTACCAGGACTTTTCTCGTTTCACATGGCGGAAATTTCGTTTCAATGGTCGGAAATTTCATCAAATGATAACAGCAATCCAAACTTATCTCGCAGTTTTTTATTGTCACACGTTCGTAGGCATAAACTTTTCATATACGCTTCGTTACACTTGCATTCATCGACTTGATTCGCTGCGGGAGCGTTGCACTTTCTTCCTCAGGTGCGCTCGTCGTGCGCTCAATGTGATATATTCGGCTGTGGTATTTTTATCCGGTCTCAAAGAGACTGCATAATGAACAGACTTTAACTCATAGACTCAATTCTCGATGCGACATGCTTTGTTACATTTCTATTCACGGCGCGTTGAGCTTGCTTAACAATGAGATGTATCGTTGCACGCTCGAGTATGATATATCAGTCTATAATATTTTCACTATAAAAACCAAGAGAAATAAAAAACTTGTCAAATGGAGCATTTAAAGCATCATCCTTTAGATTGCTCGTCAGTTTGTTCAGAAGGATTTTTCAAAATGCTCTTGCGTTACATTTAGAATATCTTAAATGGTGTTTCTTCTCGTGAATTTTTGTAATGTAACAATGTAATGCAATAATCTATTGAATCAAAATGTCAATTAAATGAATTATGTTATATTGTATTATCACAGTAAAATGAGCAGCAAAAACTGGCATTATCGGATTTATCGTCCAATTTCTTCTTCTTATTTGATTCCTACTTTTTTTCATTTTTTTATACTTCTATCTTATCTAGTTAAAATACAACTTTTTATATTTCAATTTCTTTGTGCTTATTATGTATTTTGTACTTAATTGATTATTTATAATAATTTAGAGGGATAATTTACATTGCATTTTGATACATATGTACATTTTTTCTTCAATATACAAACAATCGTAAAATATAACAACTCGATTCATGTTTTGCGAAAAGAACAAAGCTACTTTTTTCGCAATTATAACGGCGCCTTTTCTTCTATTACGAGGGGAAGGAACACTAGTTACTGTACTATTTTACTTTATACGTTTATGTGTCTTACTTTATACGGTCTCGGTGATTCGATGCGAAAAATTGCACTGCCGTCAAATTCTTTCCAACATTCTTGCAGTTAATTTTAGATAAGATCCACCACCTTTTTATGTCTCTTGTCGCCTAAAGAAACACGTCCTTGGACCGGATCCAATTGTTCACTCCTTAAGGTAGATGTAAATCAGTGGGCATCACCAAAGAATAAAAAAGTGACGGTGAGTCTCACATCAGTCTAATTGCGAATTGCCCGAAATAGGAACTCGCCAGATTCGCGCAATCATAACACTTACGTTTGCAAATAGTCAATTCTCACCTCCTATTATATCATTTATTTCAAATTTGTTTGCTTGTTATTAGAATAGCATCGATTTATTCAGAGAGCTAGGGTCATGATCAGATATATCCGTAATTACTTCATGGGTTATTCGCGGAGATACAATCAAACAGCACATTAGCGCTGTGTGATACGGCTGCACACAGCTTTATCACTGATTTATTTGTCGACTGTAAAATGCAATGTTGTATTTTGACACTCATGACGAGCGGGTAAATTGCCAAATACAAAATGCAACATCTATATCGACAATAAAACTGATAAATTATCGAGCATTGCTGTTTCCTCTAAATTAGTGATAAATTATTGTATTGTCGTGTGTCTTTTCTGGGATACATATTTTTACAATAAGAATAGCAGATATATATAGACATATAACTATCTATAAAAGAGGATTATAACTTATCAAGACTGTATATAAGATTATGTAGCAAATTTTTATCCTTAATTTAATTTTAACAGCATCTTATCTTAAATTAACAAAAATTTAATTAAATCGGCAAGATATTTTTTAATGTAAAAATTTGTATGAAAAGTTGTAGCAGATAAAAGCGTCTCATAAAATTTTCATAAATAGATGTTAGCGTTTATGTAGCCGACGTATATATTTATACATATATTGAAAATGTCTCATGAATAAAAGAATGCAGTGCAAAATATTATCAATTGGCACAGAAGAGTAATTTGGAGTGAAGAATAAAATATCTTAAAATGATCTTTTTAATCAATAGATTGCGGTGAATAAAATCTGTTCCATAAATCTATCTGTTTTATCAATTTTCCCATATGTACCCTTCAACGTATGCTGTTTATAAATGTTCGTCTTGTTGGAAACTGTTACTTATCATTCCGACCGAGTGGAAGGGATGATACTGGAATGGCTTATTAGATTTGGAAGACACAGGATACAGATCTAACATAAAGTCAGAATGAATTACGAAATGATGCAACAAGCATCAAAGTCGAAATATTACGTTGTATCGTATATATATATATATATATATATATATATATATATATATATATATCGCATATATACACATATAATATATATATACACGACTTATAGGTTTAAACCAATAAGATTAATTTTCAAAAAAGCCGCAACAAGTATTGATTACAGTGGAATCTTATAACTCTGTTCGTTTTTATATCTGGTCAGTGATACGATAGAAATTTTATATATATATAATTATTATTATTATTATATTATTATATACACTTGTAAATATCGTCTTCTCCAGAAAAGGAGAAAATGTTATAAAAATTTCAGCTATTAAATAACGATAGATTATTTAATTAGGAAATACTGTAATAAGTAATATTTTCGATGCATATGTGCGACAGACGTCTAAATTTTGTTAAAATCAATTGTTAGTTTATTAGATTAAAAAACTGCTTTTTTTTTTTTTACTATATAGAAAAATGATAAGATTATCTAATTACGCGGATTAATATGATAAAAATAATAAATGTACGTAGAAGGCGTTATATATATATATATATATATATATAAATACTATGCAAATATTAAACATGCATTCCTAAAACCTTGTTGCAGACAGCAACTAATCTACAACTTGATTTACCTCCGTTACG